CATTAATTGTGATTTGTATGTGATTTACGTTTTTGTTTGTAAAATCAACGTGAATTGATTTGGTTTCATTCAATTTTATTCGCCATTTTTTGGTCCAATTTTGAACTTCACTGACAGCGTTCTGCAGTTTTTCTGTTGATTGTTCAATACTTTTTTCCACTGTAATTAAACCAGTATCGTCGGCGAATGTTGCTAAATGACAATTTTCTGGTTTTGGGATATCGCATGAAAATAATAAATATAAGTAGGGACCTAGCACGCTACCCTGAGGTACACCTGCTTTTATTTTTCGTAAATTTGACTCAAAATCTTCCTGTTTGACTCTGAAATGTCTATCACACATATATGATTCCAAAATATCAGAATATTGTTTTGGCAGAAACAGCTTTAGTTTATAGTTTAAGCCTTCATGCCAAACTTTGTCAAATGCTTCCGCTACATCGAGGAAAACTGCGGAACAGACTTTTCCCTCTTCCAGCGATTTTTCTATTAAATTCGTTATTCTGTGTACTTGGTCGATCGTAGAGTGCTTGTCGCGGAATCCAAATTGATGAGTTGGAATGATTTCCTGTCTTTCTATGATCGGTTTTATTCTTTTTAGCAGTATCTTTTCATAAAGCTTAGATAAAACGGGCAATAATGATATTGGCCTATAAGATGACACATCATGAGGTGGTTTTCCGGGTTTTGGTATCATGATTACTTCTGCAACTTTCCAAAGTTTAGGTACGTATTTAAGCCTAAAGGACGCATTGAAAAGGTTGCATAATTTCACAATAGCTTTCCTGGGGAGTTGTTTTATTACTTCCCCAGTAATTAGGTCATATCCTGGAGCTTTTTTCGGACTGATATTTTGTTTGATCTCTGTTAATATTTCTCTTAGTGAAGTAGGCTTAATGTTGCCTTCTTCTTGTTAAGGTTCGTTCCAGGGAAGATTTTCATCCTGTGCTTCGTTAGGCTGGAATGTCTTTTCTAAATGACTTGCAAAAATTTCTACTTTTTCTTCGTTACTCCTTGCCCATTGCTGATTTGACTTTCTTATGGGTGGAATTTGGGTAACTGGTCTTTTAAGGCGTTTAGTTGCTTTCCAAAGAGAATAATCAGTGCTTTTGTCGCCGGTGAGTTCACTTAGGTAATTGTTAATAGAGTCATTTTTGATTTCTTGAATTTCTCGCCTTATGCGCTGCGTCATATTGTTGATAATTGTTTTGTCATGGGGATCTCGACTTTGCTGCCATTTTCTTCTTAGTTTCCTTTTTTCTATAATAAGATCTCTAATTTCTTTTGGGTAGTTTTTTCCCTTAAAAATTCTTTTTAATTTGGGACTGTTTTCCCAAGCTGCTTGTTGAATATTAACGATAAAACAATCGACTTCTTCATCAATTTGTTGTGGCGTTCGCAACGGTACTGATAAGTTCATCTTTTCTGACAGACTTTGTTTAAAACTAGCCCAGTCCGTCAGTTTATTAACTAATGAGATAGGTGCTTTTTTCTTAATTATATATTCACTCAGAGTTAGGATAATAGGTGAGTGATCTGAGTGTAAATCATAACTTTCTTCTATCTCCAGAAAATTTGGAGATATATTTTTTATTACGAAAAAATCGATTAGATCGGGAATTTTTCCAGGATCGGTTGGATAATATGTTGGCCTACCTGTGGATAGGGGCTGGCATTGATATTCATTAATAGCTTGCAGAAGTTCCTTCCCCTTGGAATTGGTTAGTCTGGAACCCCAGTAGGTATTTTTTGCATTAAAGTCACCCCCAACTATGAATCGATTTCCCAACTTTCTAAGAAAATTGAGATATTGATTTTTCTTCAATAAATGCCTTGGTGGTATATAGGCAGCAGATATGGTTAGTGTATATGTTTTGGTTTTTACACTTATTGCTGTAGCTTGAATTTCAATTGTTTTGTATTCCGTCTCTTCAATGTGAGATATGTTTTCTTTAATTATGACAGCGCTTCCTCCATGTGCTGTATTGCTAGGATGAATTGTGTGATACACTTTATATCCTTTAAATTTAATATAGGATTGATTTGTGAAATGCGTTTCTGATATGAGGCAAATGTCAATCTTTTGTATATCTAGTATAACTTGCAACTCTTGCTGATGCTGCAAGAGCCCATTGGCATTCCAAGCTAAAATTCTAAGGTTACTGACCATTTTGACGATTGATGATAGCGCCATTATTGCTATTTTCCAGTTTAGTTAATCGCTCATCAAGTTTGTTTAATTTTTCCAAAATCAATTGCAATGTTTGTTCCATAGTGCTTTGGTTAATAGAGTTGCCACTAACAGTGGCAGGAGCTGATGCTACTGCTTGGCTGTAAGTCCTTGTCGCAGAGTTTTGCGTAGCTGCGTTTCTTGGTTGTTGGCTGTGACCATTTGTGCTTGTGGTGTGGGAGTTGGCCTTTTCGGGTTATTCCTTAATTTTTGTATTTCTTTAGCTACAATGCACCCCCTATAGTTAGCTGGATGTTTGTCGCCGCAGTGGACGCATTTTGGCTCAGAATCTTTTGGTTTCGAACAGTCTACAGTGAGATGTTTTCCTGTACATCTCACACATCGTGGTTCTTTAGCGCAATATTTTTGAGTATGTCCATAAGATTGACATTTTTTGCATTGAGGGACTAATTTGGAAGTTTTTAGTGCTTTCATTTCCACTTGAGTTCCAAGTATTTTGGGAATTTCGAAAATTTTGTTGATGTCTTCATCATGGCTAAATGTTATCATAAACATGTTTAGTGGTTGTTTTGTTCTCCACTTAAGTTTGTTGGAGGCTTCTAGGGCCTTGAACCCTTTATTTTTAAGGTCAGCTACAATTTTTTCTGGATCACAGGAAAAGGGTAACCTGTTGGCAATTACTCTAATTGGCCTTTCTTGTTTATTTTCATATGAATGCCATTGAAGCTTTATTTCATTTAGCATTTTGGTGACCAGCCTGTAGCTGTCTGCATCCTGAACGTTTATTTTGATATTTTCGTTATTCAAAACTTTTATTTGGACTCCTTGTATGATATTTAACTTATGGTAAATATCGTTAAAGTTATTAACGCCATTAACCATAATCGGTGGGGGTATGGCACCTTTTTAGCCTTGGAGGATTCTCCAGTAGTGTCCGAGCCAGCGTTCTTTTGTGGTGGTGTTAGCGAAGTAGCCATTCGACGTTTTTTCCAGCCTTTTCCCTTTTGTCTGATCCACTCAGTTTCTTTTGCTAACTCGTCTTCGTCGGTTTGGTAGTCCATGTTGGACTCTTTTTTTTGGTTAACTTTTGTCTCTAGATCGGCAAACTTTTTTTGCATAGTTTCCAGTTGGCTCTGGAGATAATCCACTTGACTGACATTGTTTAAATGAAATTGGCCCACTTTATTTATAACGCGCGACTGTTAAACAAAAACAAATTCGCGACTTTGTTTACTTTTGTGGCACGTTTGTGTGTACTACAAAATCGAACCGTTGCGTTTGGCGACCGAATAGATACTGAAAGTACCAATAAAAGGATACTATGAAAACTAAATGTCACTAAAAATCGTTCAGGAATTAGCTTCATTCTCCAATGATTTTGCGTGGGAGAATAATGGACATTCTCACATCAAAATCGAGAAAATATATTCAAATATAGGATATAAGTTAGTCCTTCTTACTTTCTTCGTCACAGCGCTTCAGCAAAAAAATTAATTAAATTTCGAACTATTTATTATGATAGTATACAAGTTGCAGAAGGTCACAGGTCACATATTCACGAAAAATCGTTGAGGAATGAAGCTCATTCTTCAACGATTTTGCGTGCGAGAATTAATGGCATTCTCACAACAAAAATGAGAAAATATTTTCAAATTCCTAGGAACAAAAAGAACCAAATGGCCGTCTTGTTTTTTTTTAGAAATCAGTTTTTTAGCGGAGAGGTAGGGGGTGGTTCACTAATACTGGATCACCCTGTACATGGCCCACGATTTCTGTCCGTCATATGGTGGTGGCTTAACTTTATTACCAGGGGGGGTTTATTTGAAATGTGCAATTCAAATTCGTCTGACTAAATCGCATTTTCTAGCATTGAAATACCGGCAAAAATTGCGACTTAGTCAGACGTATTTGAATTGCACATTTCAAATAAACCCCCCCAGGTGCAGGCGAGGCTGAGACATTTCCCGACCTCAAGTCACATTCCTTCCAGGTTAACGCTAGCCCCCCCCCCCCCCCCCCCCCCCCCCGACGCCATTTTTCAAGGCGCCATAATGCTAGCATAGCTTCTTTGGAGCTAGCACGTAAAAGAATGCTAGCACAACTATTCGTTCTCAAATAGGGATCAAATGCTGGGGGGGGGAGACAGCTTAATGTTTGGAATTATTTTTTTGGGGGTTGGTAATAAAAACTGTTATGGAAGGTCGGTTAATAGCTAGCACAACCATTTTCAGATCATCAAAGTTTTAGAACTGAAGTTATCCCCTAACTTATGCAGGGGTGGGAAAAGTTAACGCTATACCCTTCCTCATAGTCGAAATTCCATTCAGGATTTAGCTAGAAAAACAAGAATTCCAAGAAAAAGCACGCTGCCTGATGTAAACAAGTGACTCATTTTATTTCTTGGAATCCCGACGCCACAATGTCGATGCATTTCCGGATTTCCGTGCTCGAGGAAATCAATTCTACTTGCATTGGGGCATTATCCTCCATTCCCAACCAGAGAATGGTCAAGTGGTCAACGCAATCACGAAAAGCAGACAAATGAATAGGCTCTTATGGCGAGAAAGTATCCATCATGGCTCGGAGTATTGCAAACGACAAATACGAAGGGAGGACAAAAGGAATTGTGAATGTCTGCTGAGAGCTGGTCCACAATGAACGGCGAAAAGGGGACTGCTAACTAGACCTATTTAGCTATCAAAGAACCCACATAATTATGCTCTCAAGAGACTACTCGCTAGCGAGAGAATGAGATTTTCCTGTATTATTGATTTTCAATATTTTTTGGGGTTAGTACGAAAATAAAACAATTTTTTAAAATATTTAATCAACCTACTCAAATATAATTTAGAAGTTCTATATAACTAAATTAACTAAACTGCTGAAGAATTGAAACTGTTTGGACATGTGAGTGTAATAATATACAATGTATTATTAAATCATATTTGATTTTCCAAGGGACCCAAAGAAATATTAGGTTAATTTTCTAGTCAAATATTTTGCGTACAGATGATGATGATCAATGCGCGGTTTGACTCATTTAAAAGAAAATTTAAGTTTCAGTTTCAATCTGTTTTTGGTTTGACACAGCTTACTGTGTACAGGGATTGGAAAAAGTGCGTAACTGGCATTTTGTTAATACAGAAAAAAATTTGATATACATACACCTCTGATTTCATGATTTTTTTTTTGAACCCTCTGAAATTATCCAGGCGAATAAATAATTGGAGAAAAATAGGTTTTGTGGATAATGTGGCAATCCAAAATCTACAAAAAGGAAAATGTTGACACCACGTAAAATAAATACTCATCGATATTCGTTCACAAAATATTCAACTACAAAATTAACCTAAAAAATTTGATGCCTTTGATGGTCCATTTTAATTGTTTAGCAGTTTATTTTTGAATTCTGTGAAAGGATAAAAAATAATTTCACTCAAGACATTAACTAATAATTTCCATCGCAAGTACATAAAGGATATAATATACATAAGCCCCATTTTTATGTATGAACAATTAAAGATAGAAAGTTCCAGACGAAGATTGATATTTAGTTTCCGTAGAACTATCTTACCTAAACTGTGGTGACGCATGCCAATTGTATTGCCAATTTAATTGAAATTTATTGTTCTAGGGGAGATCAATTATCTGATTAGCGTTGTTTGTCTATGTTATTCCTTGGTGCTCTAACGCTATCTCTTAGGGAGTCCTGAGCCCTGAGCTTGGAGAAAAAAGTGGTCGTTTTGTAAAAAGATTAGGAATGGACTGAAGAGCTAGTGTCACCAAGGGTCTCAGACTTTAGAAATGCTTTGAAGAATTAAAAGTCATTCATAAAATTGAAAATTTAAATTATTTGTTCTACAATAATAGAGTGATATTGTAATAATATGATAAAAAAAAGCACTTTTAAACCCTAGCCACATTTATAGTTTACGTAAATCCAAAACAAATACGCTTCCGTCTGAGGCACTGGCGCCCACTTTGTCGCCTCTGGAATTCCAACAAACTTCAAAAATACCGCCAGTACCTTTGTAGCTGTGTACCAACTGTCCAGACTGAGTGGACCATATATGAACACACTTATCGAAACTACCGCTAGCTAAAAATTTACCGTCAGGACTAAATGCCACGGAATAAACTGGTTCGGTATGTTTGGTGAGCGTGTGCATACAGGCGCCTCTTTCCACATCCCAGAGCCTAACGGTGGAATCAAAGCTAGCAGATGCCAAAATTAGATTCATATTGGGGTTCTGTGTACCAGGACCCGTTGGAGACCATTTGATTGTGTAGATCTCCTTGGAGTGAGCCTGCAGATCGTGCACACAATTGTCTTGCTTCATAGACCAAATTTTTAGGGTCATGTCGTCGGAACATGAAGCTAAGAGATTTCCTTGCGGGTCCCATTTGATGGCATTTACTTCATTCTAGAAAGTAAAATAAAAAAATTACAATAATATACATACAGGGTGTCCCACGGTGGATGGCGTATTAGACGTTTATGGAGAACTAAAAAGCGGATCATTTTGAAAATTTGGCAACCGGGATAAATGACTGTGATCTACACTTTGAAAATATTTTTGTTTATGCGGTGTTGCCGCTTCTACTCTAAACCAGTGGCAACATCGCTATTTTAAATGAAACACCCCGTATTTAATTGCATATTTGGATTCTGCATAAAATTCTGAGCAGATTTCATGTGATATACCCTATACCTAAGTTCAACTGTTTTGGAAATTGACAGTTGAAAATTGACTTTTTGCAACTTTGGCAGGCTGTAAAACCTGAACGGTTAATTTTAGAGAAAAACCGATTTTACATTCCTATCTTAGATTTTTATAAACTATCATTTGACACCAATTTTGAATTTAATCCATGATTAAAAATTCCAATTAAATTTAATCTCCGGTTAAATTCAAAGTTGGTGTCAAATGATAGTTTACGAAAATCTAAGATAGGAATGTAAGATCGGCTTTCCTCTGAAATTAACCGTTTAGGTTTTACAGCCTGTCAAAGTTGCAAAAAGTCAATTTTCAACTGTCAATATTTCCAAAACAGTTGAACTTAGGTATAGGGTATATCACATAAAATCTGCTCAGAATTTTACGTAGAATCCAAATATGCAATCACATAAAGGGTGTTTCATTTAAAATACCGATGTTGCCACTGGTTTAGAGTAGAAGCGGCAACACCGCATAAACAACAATATTTTTAAAGTGTAGATTATGGTCGTTTATCCCGGTTGCCAAATTTTCAAAATGATCCGGTTTTTAGTTCTCTATAAACGTCTAATACGCCATCCACCATGGGACACCCTGTATAGTCTGGCAAATGGTAGCTTCATAGTGACCAAAGGGAGGAAATAGAAAAGTGGGGTGTAGCCTAATAATATTCACTGACGCCTCCTGAAGACAACTATATCTTTGAATTCAGTGGCTCCAAAAACACCAAGAATTGAATGAATAAAAGTATTAGAAAAAAAACTTTAGTTACAGTAATAACCACGCCACTGTGCTGTCGATCAAGATCTAACGAATAGAATCATGAATAATCAATAACTCCACGCCCATCATTTCGCAATTTTGCCGAATTCTTGCAATTTTTTTTTTTTTTTTTGCGGTTCCCGATTGTTGATTATCGTTTTCAATATTGTAGTTATTACATTATCAGATATGATGTTTATGCTTCAGCTGACATGACAAATAATATTTTAATTTACTATCTAGTAGATTTTACATTTCAAAATACTACACTCTATATCGAACTAAAAATCAAAACACCTATACATTTAGCAATCACGAAACACTAAAAAAATTAATGCAAAGGTTGCTGGATTTTTAGGTAACATTTCAAGTTAACTGGATAATAAATGGCTCCTTGTATGCTTTTCAAAAATAGACTGCACATAATACAGGTATTCTTTCGATCTGAACAAACTGATCGATCTCACTTGAGGTTGGTTTCAAATAATTGTCATCTGGTTTTACAACGATTTCATTGGCCCTAACTGTATTTTTGACGCCTCATGAACAAACCTAGAAACTAGAAATATGATTACATTCAGTTGGTTCAGATCGAAAGAATACCTGGATTATGTACTCACACATCAAATGCACAGGTAGAATTAGTTTTTACGAAAAATAGCACAGAATACAGTGAAATACCTAATTTGTCATTCCAGAAAAATCTATGAAAAGTAGGGATTGAAGAGGTCTATGAACCTAGCAGTCCCATGGCGGAAAAAAAGTTTGGGGTTTGTATCATAATTAGGTGCTTAGGCTTTACAGCCTGTCAAACTTGCAAAGAAGACAATTTTTGATTGTCAATATTTCCGAAACAGTTAAAGATAGGTATAGGACTTGATACATAAAAAGGGTTCAGAATTTAACGTAGAATTTGAAAATGAAATGAAAAATTGGTGATTTCGTTTAAAAAAATTAAGTTAGCTGACATAATTTGTTTACGGATCACCCTGAATACATGATATTATCATATACAGAGTACGGAAAGTAATGGGACGGTCAATCATCTCTGAAACCACTGGTGCAATTTGAACAAAATATGGTACCTGAACATTATTTGACAAGCCAGATTCAGGCTGAGTTTTTTTATTGCATCTGCGAGCAAACGAGCAAATTTTGACGGACGTCACGTGATCACTTACCGTTTTTGACGTGTCATATCACGTGACATCTGTCACCTGTCAAATTAAGCTCAGTTTGCTACCAGATGCAATAAATGAACCCAGCCTCAGAAATCGCAATGACGCTGTTGCCAAGCCCGCCAATTTTTCTGAAGGCACACACTCTTTTTTATTTTAGATGAAATACCACCGGCGTATACAAGGGGGGGGTAATTACCCCCCCCCCCCCAAGATCGTTGCGATGGACGAAAAATATATACCCACCCTACATCTTACAAATAAATCTATTTCTTATATTTTTATTTTTCAACAACTGGCACTAACTTGTTTTCTAGTTTGCACAGTGTCCGCACTGCCCACAGGGCCGGATTTAGGCACAGGCAACCGAGGCAACCGCCTAGGGCGCCACAATTAGGGGCGCCAAATTGACAACAAATTTATTTCGAGTGAACAAGTTAAATTTAAAAAAAAGAAGTTCTATATCACAAGGATGATAGGGAGATAATAGAAGATCCAACAACATTGTCCGGTAATAGTTAATTAACAAATCACCACTGTCACCTGTCACCGCTCATCAAGGCACTTTCGATCCTCTTTGTCTCAAAACAGATTCAATGGACTTTCGCTCTCAGAATTGAAAATGTTATAACCTTCGACCATTGAACACACTCGATCCCGATGGCTATAACATGTTAGATGGTGTAGATTATAGTAGGTCTGTTCTCACAGGAATCACAAACCAGCCAGAGCGTTTTTGCTTGGCGCAAATCTCCAACAACCAGTTTTATGACTATTTTCAACCAATGAAATTCCCTCTGACTGGTTTGTGATTTCTGTGAGAATAAACCTATCAACGAACTCATCTCTGACTTTGACTTTGCAAGACGTAAAGCCAGAGTGGTTCATTTTTAGTGTTTATAATTTAATTAGTTTTGGAAATTTTTGTGTTTAGTTAATTTGAAAAATACATATTATATGTCCGGAAAATAACGTAAAAGCTCTCCACTACGTAGTATGGGATCCTTTGAGTAACCCTGGAAAAATAATTTTAAAAAAAATCCTTCTCGACCATTCTTGGAAATATGAAGAGGTAAATGTGGAAATTCAACTTCCTTATTTTTGATTTTTCTTTCAAATTGCAATATTTTGTACAAAGTGTTAGGTATCTTTTGTTGATTCATTACATATTAGTTTTAAAAAAATTGTTGTTAACCTTTAAAACGCAATATGAAAAGTGCAAAATCTCTAAATTACAACAGGAAAAATTGATCTGACAACATTTTTCAGTAACCTTCGAATTTTCCAGATAATTACATAGGTATTTAATTTAATTCTGTGACAAATTGTCAACGGGATATTTTCAGTGTTGCCGATTTTAATAAACATTAAACTGCTAATAACTTTCTTAAGAATGCCACCAGATTTTTTAAATAATTTTTCTGGGGTTCCTTGAAGGGTCCCATACTACGTAGTGGAGAGCTTTTACGGTATTTTCCGGACATCCTGTATATCTATTTTTTTTTATATCTACAATATAGATCTGTTCTCACAGACATCACATACCTATCAGAGCGAATTTAATTAGTTATAAACTATCAGAAAACTAGCTTCTGGCGATTTGCACCAATCAAAAACACTCCGACTGGTTTGTGATTTCTGTGAGAACAGACCTCATGTAATAAGTAAACGTATGATATTCGCTTCTAAAAAAATGAAGTTATATACTTTTTTTGTCTTACTCTCTAAGCGATACCCTAAAATTCATTGTTTATCATATTGATCTTTATCCATTTTGACAAATCAATTTGAGAAGGGGGGCGCCAGAATTGAACTTTGCCTCGGCATAAAATACCTATTGGACCGGCCCTGACTGCCCACATGCCATTTATAGCGAATTCTATTGAAAAAGATAGTGCACACTGAGTGTAATCATGTGTTTCTCTACTAGCTTGCGTACGAAAGAGATAAAAATAATTTTTTTGTATTTGTTCTACTAATAGAATTCGTGCTATTATTAAGAAGTTTTTGGTTTTTGGGGAATCTCAGATTTCGGTTTCGTTATTTGTTGGTAGTACAGAATATATTTACCTAACAAGTCTGGAAAATAATTTTTTCCGCACATTAGTTTTTCTACAGTATAATAAATAATTAGGTACCTATACCTACATATATTGTAGTGATTTATTGATTTTGTTTTGACAGCCGTGCAGAAAAGATTTTTATTTACAACCACATACGTAATGTTGACATTTCTGACTTTTCAAAAGTTTGAAAGTGACACGTTTTTGAATTTTACTTTCCACCCGGGTGGAAAGTAAGTTCTCATTTCCTTAAATGTTTAAGACGAGTCCTGCATGTCAAACGTTTCTTTAAATGAGTCAAAACTTGTCAACAAATTTTTATTATTTTTTTTTTGTATTTAGTCGAAATTATGAGGGTTGTAATTGTTGTAAATAAAATAGTATACAAACCTCGGTAGGAAGTTTCATTCCTGTCATTCCGCCCTTAACGGCTTGACCGAACTCCGCTTCGCGTCGTTCGGTCAACTGCCGTGCGTGCGGTAAAGTATCACTTTCCGCATTTGTTAGGTAAATAACTATTACCTACTTTCCATTTGCACATAAGTGCGGTAAAGTGGACTGCAAAGTTTGCGGTCTCGTTAACTTTAGCGCATAGTATGCGGTAAAGTAGACTTTGGTATTTATGATTAAAAATCCTTTCTTTTTTAGAAAATGGATTTTTGATCATTTCTTAATCTAATCTAATTTCTAGTTAATCTGATTC